TCAAGATGTCCAAGGCCAAAGCATGCTCAATGCCATAAAACCCCCGGATCACATACTTGGCTAACCGCTTCAAAGCTGCAGGAACCTCGGTGAGGACATCTGGATCTGCCATCTTTAGCAGCAAACTTCAACTTTAAATGTACTGAATTCAGGAAAAAAAAGAGAAAATTAGCTAGGCATAAGGACAAAGTAATCATTTTAAATCTAGAATAATCAACCCATTAGGTAGTTGGTAATCGCTATTCTTGGAGTGCCACAAAGGTACTTACAACATTGTTTTTAAAAGACTTATAATGCTAAGCATTTAACAGAGAACAAGACTTTCCTCTAGAGTACACAAAAGATTACACCTTAGAAGCTTGACATATTTCTTAAATGGTTACTTTCATGACCTACTGTGTGTTTAATTCCAAAAATTAACATTACTTATAGCAATGATATACTATATCAAGCTCACTTTATTTCAGAAAGAGAAACTCAAAAATCTAAACGAAGTCTCATTATTCTTAATGCTACAGGTCTTTGGGAATGCTGGGGAAAAAAAAAACAAACCCTGAGAAACTTAGCAGTTAGCCTAGTTTTTTAAGTGCCTTTATTTCTTTTCTTGAGTAAAAATTTTCTACCAAGATAGATTCTAGGATGTTTTACATAGTCATGCTCTCACAATAAAATCACAACAAACCAATAAATGCCTAAGTAATCACCAGCTGGGATGTTTGGCAAAATTACTGTTATAAATCTGAAAGAAATTAACAATTATATCCAGACAGCTTTACCAACCTTGAAAAGTTAAATGACCAAGTAAGCAAATGCTATACGGTTCTAAAAAACAGTAACAACAAACACCAAGATATCCTTAAATACTGGATCCCCTGCAGGACAAGTAGAAGCTAACTGTACCCAGAAAGCTGTCTTCTAGAAGCCCAAACTGGCATGGGCTAGACTTTCATGTGGTTGTTAAAAAGCCTGGGATTTGGAATTAGAGTCAGATAGCCTTGTTTAAGTGGCTGTGTGATCCTGAGCAAATCCCTTAACAACTTCAAGCCACACTTCACGCTCTGAGAAATAAGGATAATATCAACTACTTCAATGAGGTGGTTGTGATGAATAAATGAGAATGTAATGTGCTTAGGAAGCACCTGTTAATAAAGACACCATCTATATCAATTTAATACATCTCAAACTAAAAACGGCCAGGCACACAGACTATATCATACAGACTATATCAAATGAAATTTCCCTACACTATAAGGAAATTTTTAACAGCCTTCTGAATTATTTCCATAGGGAATCATAGTGTTATTAATACTAGTTTCTACTGAATCTTTTATTTAAAATCAGTAGTTATCAACCCTATCACCCTATTTTATAAGAAACAGTTTTATATCCACAGTACTATTCTAAAAAATATTCCTAAATAACCAATGAATACACATATGGTGGGGGGAGGGTGGTTATAATACCCTACCTTTAATAAAGGAAAAATAAAAGGAAAGTCAGTTATATTTTGGATTGTGAATACTCAGGCATGACTATATATAAGAGATAACGAAGTAGCACCTAGGTCCAAACCTGTGGTCCTAGAGCCTTCCTGTCATCCCAAGGCTTAAGGATGCCAAGCAAGTGCCTGGGTTCAACACCAAAGTAGTAGTATAACACACTGCCATGTGCATTTTATTCTTTCCAATTTGGCCTATACGTTGAACTTGAACCTAGTTTTTGGGTTTTTGTTTTGTTTTGTTTTACATGGTCAACAGTTGGCAGAACACAATATGTGGCTTCGGAAACAGACCAAAGGATGGTAGACCAATGTCAAAGTAACCTACTTTTCCAGTATTATTTCCTACTATTGTACTCCCCTCCCTGACCTTCCACCCCATATACTCCATTTTCCGGGCCAATGGTTCTCAACCCTGGCTGTAAAGCAGAATCATCTGGGGAGCATTTAAAAATACCCACCCTGGGCCCCATTCCCAGAGATTCTGTTTCAGCTGGTCTGAGCAGGTCAGATTAGGCATCACACTAATTTTTAAAGCTCCTTAGGTGACTCTAATATACAGAATAAGTCCCTGACCACTGTTACCAACAAACTGGGTACCTGACTATTACATACCTGGCCAAAGCACATCCTGCATGGGGAGGGCCCTGTGCCACATCATTCAGCCTGTTACCTTTGCCTGAAACACCCTAGGGGGCCCTAAAGATTTGAGAAAGGGAGTGACATGAGGACTCTGCAGTCCAATAGTTTTAGGTTTTGAATCCCAGTTCCACCATTTCTTAGCCTGTGAACCTGGAAAGTTCTCAGCTTCAGTTTCATCAGATTAACAGTGCCTTCCTCATAGGGTTGATGTATGAGATTAAATGAGATAATTCATGTAAAGTGTTTGACTTTCAAGGCTGGCATCGTAAGAGTTCCATTAAGTACTGGCATACATAACAAGACTCCCTACTTAGAAAAGTGACTCTTACAACAATTTGAGAAATGGGCTGAAGTAAGTGAAAATGGAGGCACTGTGGAAACATTAAGAGTGATAGTAATCAAACCTAAACTACGAAAGACAAGAAAAAATTACAAGAGGACAGGATGAATGAAACTTATTAGAGGAACAAAATCAAAAGGACCCAATAATACATTGGAAATGGAGTTACAGAGTAGGAAAATTTTAAATAGCTATTTGGGGTTTTTTTCCCAAAATTTTATTGGGATAAAATATACATAACATAAAATTTACCGATTAAGTATTTTTAAGCAGACAGTTCAGTAATGTTAAATACATTCATAATGCTAACCAACTATCACCACCAACCACTTCCACAACTCTTTTCACCTTGTAAAACTGAAACATTATACCTATTAAACAATAACATATAGCTATTTGTTTTAAACCAGTGTAACTAGAAAAGTACTACTATGAGAAAGAGGTTAACACCTGAAGAGAAACAGGTTTGGAAGAAACGAGGCATTCATTCAGTTTTAGTTGCTTGTCTTTGAGGAAATAACACAGAATATTACTGTGAAGATGTCCTGCAGGTGGCTGAACAAATGAAACTGGAACTCAGCAAAGAAGTCATGCTGTGCCACCTTGTTCAAAATCTCTACACTCTAAAATCCTCCTTCCTGAACATTGTGTTCTCTCCTTCACTGCCTCTACTCCCCCAATTATGCCGAATCTCCTCAATCTCTGGATTTCATAATACTGAGATGAGAGGTCTCAAACTGGTAGCCTGTGCCACATCGTTTGACTCAAAGAATGTTTGGAAAATTTTCTGAATTTGCGGTTAACATTAAAAATCATGAGATTTCACATCAATTTCAATTTTTTCAGGCCCTCTTGAGAACTGCAAATATCTGTGGAGAAAAAAAAAAAATGAGACCATGTTCCCACATGGAAACAATTAGCTAAAGAGCAGCTGACATTTTTAAACAGGGAAGGAGCTTGGCTGGCCTCTGGAGACTTTGCAGTGTGTGACCTCTGGGGGCCAGGCCTTGTTTCTTCTTCTTAGCCTCAGAATCTATCAATCACCTCCCAGCCTCACCTACCACCCTACAGCCCAGACCCCCAAAGGCAAGTTGGTTTTGCTTTTGAACCCTATGTATTCTAATCATACAAACACCGGGCAACAGAGTTGGAGAAACAAAGTTGAAATGAATGCATTCTCTGTGCTTGGTCTACCCTCCTCAGCTTCATCTCTGGCCACACTGGCATTCTCTCAATTCTGTGAGCCACACATGCGTTCCCTACTTCCAGGCCTTTGCACATGCTGTTTTCTCTGCTCCCACAGCTAAGCCCAAAGTCCCTTCTCCTAATCATCCTTCACATCTCAAATGACATTTCCTCAGAGACACCTTCTCAGACTTCCCTTAGTGGCTCAGAATGATCCCCACCCCCCTTCACATGTTCCCATAGTTCTTTCCCCTTCTTCGCTGCAGTGAATAGACTTATACTTTCTCCATGTCTACCTCGGAGACCAGGAGATTAATCTTGTTCACCACTGACTTTCCAACGTGCAGCACAGCTGGTCTAGTACTTCCATAAAACTTTCAATAGGTCTCGTAAAGCACCTTTTCTTCAAACATGCCCACCCTGCCAGCTTCCCCCCAATTCACTTCCTCCACTGCAGCTTCCACAGTAGAAAAAGATAGGGTATTGGAAACCCTCTTCTTAAACTTCAAATGGTTTTAAGGAGGTGAAAGCATCAAATTCGTGATTGTAAAGGATTATGCTGACTGCAGCGTGTAAAAGAAGGAAGGAGTGGATGTGGGGAGTCCTGTCAGATTATTTCAGTATACTTCGATTCCAGTTCCAGAAGAACTTGGATTCTACACAACCAACTGGCTTTCTCGGCTACCATATTTCACGGTACTCTCCACGCCTTCATACATACAGTGGCATATCACCGCGAAACCTCCGGACAAGCTGGCCTCCACGAGCCCGGTAATGTTTACCTCCTCCCCACTGTGACACCCCGACACCCTAGATCCGCTCGGACTCTACCAGCTGAGTCCAGAGGCCACACTCGGCGCAGCCAAGCCCGTCCTACCCGAGGTCGCACATGGGCCGCTCCGGGTCAATAGTTCTTTGGAAACCAAGAAGAGAACCGAGTCAAGAGAGCAGCTAAGGGGGAGGAGGCTAGCTATGGAGAAAGGAGCGGAAAGGAGAAGACACCCTGAAAGGCGGCGCCGGGCCAGGGAACCGAGAACAAGGAACAAGGAACAAGGTTTACCAAGGCGAATCCTCGAACACTCCCACTACAGCTTCCCTCAGCGCCTCAACTACTGGTTTAAACGAGCCACGCCACTTCTGCGACAAGGAGAACGCCCAATTCCTGCGACCAGCTTTAGAAACCACCCGCTACTTTTAACTAGGCGGGCCAATCAGCACAGTGAGGCCTTCAATCAAGACGGTCACGCTCCTATTGGCCAATGACATTGAAGACTCCGCCTTCCAATCCCAGCTCTGATTGGCCTATAATCCCGGAATAGGCGTTAACCTTAGGAAGGCAGTGGCAAGATGGCGTCCCTGGATCGGGTGAAGGTACTGGTATTGGGAGACTCAGGTGAGCCGCTTAACCCACCTCTGGGGCTCCCGACACTTTTGAGTTATCTGAAAATCCTCCCCTTTCACTCTCCCTTTACACACACACCGACTAACTGACTCCGGCCCGTGGCTGAATTCCCTCTTAAGGCCTAAAGACTACACTTCCCAGAGGACTTTGCTCAATTTAACGGAGCGGCGGCATCGCAGGGGTGGGGGGCGCGGAGCCGGGGCCTTTCTCTGTTTTCGCTGGTTTCTACGTTGGTTTCCAGGGCGACCGAAGCCTAGTGATCCTTTGTTTTAAAAGATCTGCGGAGGTTGAGTGTTGTACTGGGCGCCGTGCTGAGACAGAAGTTCGGACCTTGCCTTTAATAGATTTTGTTAATTAAAGAAATCAAATGTGCACTAAGAAGAATGACACTGTTCCAAGTGCTTTGCATATATTAACTCATTTAATCCTGAGATCAGTCCTATTATCCCATTTCACAAATGACAAATCTCTTTTAAAGAGATGTAAATGACAGAACTAGTTTGAGCCGGGAGTCCACGTACTTAGAACACTAACCCATATTATTTAGTGAAGTATCAGGTGGTAGACCTGTTTTAGTCTCAACTGCGCTTCTTTTTTCTTTGTTCTGTTTAATCTTAATTGAAAAACTGTTATGTGCTGGGCTGGAAGAAATAGAAAAAATAAGATAAGGGCCATTTTGTGAAGCAGCTAGGACTTAATGCTGAGCCCAGTTTAATCCTAGTGTTAAAATTCTTACCTTGGACGCTTGAGAACAGGAGTTGAAGTCTGTGTTTCTATCTCCCCTTCACTATCCTGTTTCTCATACCCTCCACTCCTAAGGGTCTTAAGAACTTGGAATAAATATTAACCTTGCATTTCATAGATGTGCTTTTCTGGAGTTGACCTTTGGATGTCTGCTTGAGCAAAGACGTTGTGTCAGATACTTGGAGGTGGAGAGGACATACCCCAAAGAGCTTGAAAACTAGCCTTACCAAACTGAATAAAATTGGTGGGGGGAGGAGGTTGAGAACATTTTCACATTGCCTGAAGATTATTTGCATTGCAAAGTATTTTACAGAGAGCATTATTTAATATTCCCTTCAGAAAGTTGCATTATGAAATTCTATGAACATAATCCAATTTATGTCAACTTTAGCATGAAGTGGTGCTGAAGTGAATTTAATAAAAGCACTCAGTTTTACAGATAAAGAAAGCAACAGTGGTCTAAATGGGCTTCGTAGGAGTATCACCAAGTAGGATTTAGAAGAATCCAGAGCTAACACAGTTCTTCATGATATGTGAAGTGGGTGCTTTCTCTCATTTATAATTACCTTTCTATTGCATCTAACAATCGCTTCATGTTACATCTTGTTCAAACTAATCGATTTATTTTTTTCCCCAAAAAATTATTTCCCTATTATAATACATGGCAAATGCTGAATTAGGTGCTGGGGATATAACTGTGGAATCAATGCATTACACAACAGCATTGAATTGGCTGCTGTATTAAATATGAAAAAGTGATCAGGCAGTTAGTAAGCCTTTTAAAATTATTATTATAGTTTAGTTGCAAAACAGAAGACAGAGCTATGCCCACCAGGAAAGTGATTGATCTTGTCACACATTCACTGATGTTAGGCTATATGTGCAAAGTCAGTTATTGTCTTTTTATCAGTTCCCTTTTAACAATGATTTGCTGTCTTACAAGTTAGAATATACTTTTTACATTTCATCTGCCTTTGTATTTAAACTTCAAAGTTTACCTTGAATAAAGGCTCATTTCCCCTGTGAAATTTTGAGGATTTCGCAAATATATAAAGGAATGACTAGGGATTTAGAAATTTGTTTGTATCCCATAGAGATATTTGATAATTTAGTAAGGAATCCTGAAAGTCTCTCTAACATGCACACACTCTTTTCTCTTTGTTTCTTCATATGTAAGGGATGAGCTTAATACATTACCAGCTCTGTTTGGAGCTGGCATTTATTTGATTATATTGAACTTTTTTTCCCCAGCAAATCAAGTGCATTCTTTTGATCTAAGTTAGTTCTAATGATGAAAACATAGAATCAGAATTTTCCAAAATTCTTAAAGTTAACCACTATTCTTGGCACTTCTGTTGTTCTTACTGTTTAAAGTTCATCCCATGTTAGCTAACTCTTATCACCCAATGCAGTTAATTCATGGAGAGCTATACAATATTATTACATAGAGCTGTTTACTCTGACACAGTTAAGCTTAACTAGAATTTCAAGACTTGTATCAAGCTGATAACTAAATGCCTAGTTATATTCCTCCAACATAAACAAACCTACATGCAAACACAAAAATCAACAATATGCCCTAAAGGCCGTAGATATCAGATGCAATGCAGTAAATAAAATACAAAGCTCACTTTGAGTAGTCAAAAATCTTGTATGTAAAAAAATAAAAGGAATGAAAGGGAAATCTGGGGAAATGTTTGGTTCAATTACATGAGCAGCTAGTATATGAAGAGGTCATGTAAATTGACAACAGTAAAACCTAGTAGATAAATGGGCGGAGCACATCAGTAGATAATTCATAAGAGAGGAAAAACAACTGGTTAGCAAAGATGAACATAATGTGTATCTTTACCAGAAGGTAAAGAAATGCAGACTAAAGCAAGATGTCACTTTTTTTTCTCTTATAAGCTAACAAAGATGAAAAAGCAACTACATACTGTTGAGGTGCAACAAGACCTGCAGGCTTATGTGTATGGCGGGTGGCATAGTAACCAGATAAACATTGTCAATGTATATCAAGAACTTTCAATGTTGATTTCAGTTTACATATTAATTTCACTTCTGGGAAGGTATACTAATAAAATAATTTTAATTTTAAACGAAAGTGTAAACAGAAATCTTTTCTTAGCATAATGAAAAGTTCAAAGCACCCTAATATCTAATAATGAGAAAATGGTTACATAAATCATTATGTCTCCTCTCTGAACTACTATGGAGACATTAAAAATATTTATGAAGATTCTATAATAACATGGAAATTTTTAGCCACTAAATAAGTACTAATTAAGGCCCTCTCTGAGTACTGGAAATAAAAAATGAGTAAAACCCAGTCCCAGGCCTCAAAGAACTTAAAATCAAGCAGAGTGAGTAAACACTATAAACAAGCAAGTGTAATAGTGTATTTTAAGTGCTCTATAGAAAAATGTACAGTGTACAGCGGAGATGCAGAGGATGGTGGGTGATGTGCTTTGTTCTACCTGTATGGAGTAAGAGAAGACTTTATATCTAGAATGATGCTGAGTCTTGAAAGATTAATTCACCAGGCTAATGAGAGGGAAAATGGAAGGAGAGGATGTGTAGGATATTTCAGACAAAACCAACTGTGTAAGCAAAGGCTATGTTTCATTGTTTTTAAGTACACTGTGTAATATATTCACAGTAACAACCTGCTTATAGAAAAACTCTGCTTATGAATTTAAATCTACATTATTGACAGTAGTGCTCTTTGGGTGATTTATTTTCTTCTTTTTTTCTTTACTTTCTAGATAGACTGTAAATAAAACTTTATAATAAAAAGTGATAGATCCATGCACAGTAATGCACACAAAGAGGTCGGCTAAATTTTTGATAACTAGTGACGCATAAAGATTCACCAACAATGCTTGTTATAATGGCATCCCAGATATGTTAATTGAATGAGTAACTACACATAAATGTACAGGGATAGCTCATTCCCTTTCCTCTTCCTACAGATCTCAGAATACTAGCCCTAGCATTAGTAATTAGATTATCCTAAACCCAGGAGATCTATAAGAAAAGAAAGTGCTGTCCTACTGAATGGGAGAAGATATTTGCAAGCAACATATCTGATAAGGGGCTATCCAGAATATATAAAGAACTCATACAACTCAATATCAAAAAACAATCCAATTAAAAAATAGGCAGAGTACCTTAATAGACATTTTTCCAAAGAAGACATACACATGAAAAGATGGTCAGCATCTCTAATCATCAGGGAAATGCACATCAAAACCACAATGAGATATCATCTCACACCTGTCAGAATAACTCATCAAAAAGACAACAAATAACAAGTGTCATCGAAGATGTGGAGAAAAGGGAACCCTCATGTACTGTCAGTGGAATTGTAAATTGGTGCAGCCACTGTGGATAACAATATGGAAGCTTCTCAAAAAATTAAAAATAGAATTACTGTATGATCCAGCAGTTCCACTTCTGGGTATTTACCTGAAGAAAACAAAAAGACTAATTCGAAAAGATGTATGCACCCCTATGTTCATTGCGGCATTATTTATAGTAGCCAAGATATGAAAGCAACCTCAGTGTCCACAATAGATGAATGGATAAAGAAAATATGTGTATATATACACATACAGGTCGACTATTAGCCATAGAAAGAATGAAATCTTGCCATTTGCGACAACATGAATGGATTTAGAAGGTGTTATGCTAAATGAAATAAGTCAGAAAGACAAATACTGTATGATCTCATTTATATGTAGAATCTAAAAAAAAAATGAACAAACAAAATGAAACAGACTCATACAGAGAACAAACTGGTGGTTGCTAGAAAGGAGAGGTGGGGAGAGGGGTGAAATAGGTGCAGGGAATTGAGGTACAAACTTCCAATTATACATAAGTCACAGGGATGTATTGTACAGCATAGGGAATATCACCAGTGGTACTGTAATAGCTTTGCATGGGGACAGATGGTTACCAGACTTATTGTGGCGATCATTTTGTAATGTATTTAAGGGTTGAACACCTGAAACTAACATAATATTGTATGTCAACTATACTTCAATAAAAAGAAAAGACAAGTGCTGTCTATGAAGTTAAAGGGCCATGATGTAGAAGAAGAAGAAGAGTTGTTCTCCTTTTCCAAAAGATAAGTCTGGGCCAAGTGGTTGACTGCTTTCTAAAAATCACTGTATGGGAGAACTGGAATATCTAAATATGGAATTGTGAAATGGTGAATCCCTGTCACTGATAGTGTTCAAGCATAATCTGAAAGACGATCTAACAGGGTCTGTGGAAGGGGCCTCTGCATTGGTGGTCAGGATAGAGGAGATTACCTCTAAGATATGTTAAGATTCTACAATTCTAAAATAGGCTGAATAGATGAAATCCTTCCAAAGGAAAGGGATTAGTTTATTTGAAATTGCCCTGGACCAGTAGTTCTCAAAGTGAGTTCCCTGGATCCGTAGCATCAACATCACCTGGGAATATGTTAGAAGTGCAAAATCTTTGGGTTCCATGACAGACCTGTCAAATTGGAAACTCTGGGGACAGGACCCAGCATTCTGTGTTTTAACAAACCCTCCAGAGGATTCTGATGCTAAATTTGAAAGAACCAGTGTCCTTAACCATCTTCTCTTTATCAATGAAGCTTATTAAATCATTGGTATGGTATGAACACCCTTTAAACAACCATGCTTTATATATCATTATTACTGCTTATTCTCAGTCTTACTTTTGCCATAATATATTTCAGCATGTCTTTTAAATGACTAGAGTTCTTGTATCTTTTACAGGTGTTGGGAAATCTTCCCTAGTTCATCTCCTGTGCCAAAATCAAGTGCTGGGAAATCCGTCATGGACTGTGGGCTGCTCAGTAGATGTCAGGGTATGTGTTTCTTATATTTTAGTTTTTCAGTGCCATATTAAAGATAACTCCTTCAAATTCATGATCCAATTACAGCCCTGTAGTCAAGACTAAGTAATAATAATAGCTGGGTTTTATTAAACACCTACTTTGTGCTAGATACTATGCCCAATGTTTTACATGTCTTTGCTTACTTAGTCTTTTTTTTTTTTTAATATTTATTTATTTATTTATGGCTGTGTTGGGTCTTCATTTCTGTGCGAGGCTTTCTCCAGTTGCGGCAAGTGGGGGCCACTCCTCATCGCGGTGCGCAGGCCTCTCACTATCGCGGCCTCTCTTGTTGCGGAGCACAGGCTCCAGACGCGCAGGCTCAGTAATTATGGCTCACAGGGCTAGTTGCTCCACGGTATGTGGGATCTTCCCAGACCAGGGCTCGAACCCGTGTCCCCTGCATTGGCAGGCAGATTCTCAACCACTGCGCCACCAGGGAAGTCCCACTTAGTCTTTTTTAAACTGTAAGATATAGCTACAAAAATTAAGGCATAGAGAAGTAAAGTAATTTGATCAAATTCATTCAGTTCATAAGAAGCAGAGTCAAGATTTGATCCTAATTAGTCTGATTCCAGAGACTTCACTTTTAATTACTATACTGTATATCTAGAGTTCACTTAACATGCTCCATAAATCATTCTGCTCGAGGCTTTCCCACTAAGACAGCCAACTTTTGGCTAGAAATATAGTGTAAAGGCAAAAGCTTCTGGAGCCTTATATCTAGGTCATCTGTTCCACATCACATTTAGGAAACCCAAGTGCAGTTTCCACTGAATTAGCTATCTTCCCAGATATTTTGGTCTTGCTAATTCCAGCTATTCCTGTCCAGGCCTCTCTTGCACTAGCATACCTCTCTCCATTGAGTTAAGAAATAAATAAGGAGGGAATAGCAGTTAGCTAGATTGACAGTTATTTTCCTTCAGTTCCTTGAACCTGTTGTTCCACAGTCTGCGATGTATATTGCCACTGATTAGAAATCCTCTGTCAGCCTAAGTGTTATTCCTTTTTAAGGTAATTTCTTCTCTCTAGTTGCTTTAGAAAAAAAAATTTTTTTTATAATCTTTGATGTTCTGTAGTTTTGCTAACCTACATCTAGGGGTGGATTAGTTTTTAGTCATCCTACTCAGAAGTTGTACGCCTCGTATATATCTTCATTTTTCAAAATTTTTAGCCATTATCTGTTTGCCTTACCTCTTTCCTTCTATCTTCTTCTTTTGAACTTCTATTGGATTTTTGTCCTCCACATCTTTTAATTGCACTTTCATGTTTTCTATTGTTTGTTTCTCCGTGGTGCATTCTGGATGATGTACTCATATCTGCCTTCCAGTTAACTAAGAATCTCTTCAACTATGTCTAATCTGTTTTTTAATAAATCCACTCAGTTTTTTATTTCAGTAACTGTAACTTCTAATTTCCAGATGTTCCTTTCGGTTCTTTTTCAAATGTCAAAATTTTTCAAAATATTCTGATCTTTCATTATATTTTACTTTTTATTTTAATCATATTCAACATAATATTTTATGGTTTCTTTTGGCTTGTTCTATTTTTTTTTCTGGGTGGGTGACAGATGTCCTACTTGCTATATATGCAGACTCTACCTCATGGAAATGTACCTCTTGTATGGTTTGTAATTCTTGAAGATGACCACATCTTCAACAGGATTTTTTTTCTCCTCTTCCCTTTTGAAGTCTTGTATGCTGTGTTGTGAGAGTACAGTGCCTTTCATTTCTGTTGCTGCCAGAGCCCTAGCGATTTCAGTGATCCTTGTAATTACTCAGCTTGGAATTTCCATGCAATCTTGATAATGTAAATTCCCCCCAGCATCTGATTGTGGTTTCCATTTTTTGTGGATCTTTCATCTCCTTTCTACAAGGTCCCTGACAGAAAGTTTTTCCTGCTTTCCTGAGCCAGTGGACAGAGTTTTTCCTACTCTCTTTCACTGACTGGGCTGCTCATCAAGGGTCCACATTTCAAGAAGGGAATCTGTTCTTTGTCACTCACCCACATATACTCTTGCCTTAAAAGCTGGAAAACAGACCCCTATTCTTGGCTGGGCAGTAAAACTTTGGGGACCAACCCTTAAAGTTATATCTGAATCTGGGTCAGCTCCCATTTCATAATCTTTAAGTTTTTCCTTCATTTCTAGCATCTGGGGAATTTCCTTTTTTTTTTTTCTTAAGTGTGTCCTTTTTATTTTTAAAAAATATTTTTATGGCATTTCTATGAGTTTGAAGTCGGAGGGGACCTGTCTATATCATTTCAGCCTACTATGTTCCCAAATTCTTAGCTATGGAAGAAAAAGAAACTAGATAATGAATTCAGTGGCAACTTTTTTTAAGTTTGGGAGACCCAATAATAAGCTCTGGACAAAATTTCCCTTTGGACTTTTCTAGCTCCCTTTCTGTGAGAAAGCTTAACATATTGAAAAGAAACTTAGAGTTGAACTTCCACTTCCTGGGTCAGTCACATATTGCTTTTGCTTCTTAAAGAGAAACTTAGACTAATCAGTTTACTTCTCTGAGCCTTAGTATGTCATCTGCAAATTAGAGGTAAATAATACCTGCTTTATCTAGCCTACAGGTTTGTAGGGAGGATGAGAGAGAAGCTTAAAAGGTGTGAAGTTAAGGTCTAGTGCTTTACAATTTGAAGTTGAAATTGAACTTAAATTCATTTTCCTGCCCCGCCCACCTGCCCCTCTTATCTACTCAGAGCCCAGTCTGCGCGTGTAATTCACCTTTTGTCTTATTTGGGGTTTTTTCCCCTTTTCTTACTGAATTGGCTAAATCCCCAGTACAGTGTTAAGTAGAAGTGGTGCTAACAGGCATCCATGTCTCATTCCCAATCTCAGGAAATTTTTAATGTAATACCATTAAATATGGGTTTTGCTATAGGACTTTTTGTAGATATACTTTATCAGATTAAAGTTACCTTCTCTTTCTATTTCGATGAGAGTTTGAACCACGAACTGGTATTGGATTTTATCAGGTGCTTTTGCATGATAATCATAATTTCCCTGCTTTATTTTGTAACTATGGTAAATTATTTTGATTGATTTTTAAATGTTAAACCAACTTTGCATTCTTGGAGTAAATCCAACTTGGTCTTGATGTATTCTTTTCATATATCACTAGATTCAATTTACTAATACTTTTTTTTTCAAATATTTGCATCTAAATTCATGAGGAATATTGGCCTATCATTTTCCTTTCTTATAATCTCCTTGTGGGATTTTAGTATCAGGATTATGCTAGCCTCGTAAAATGAGTTGGGAAGTTTTACCTCTGTATCTATTCTCCGGAAGAGTTTATGTAAGATTGGTTTTATTTCTTCCTTAGGTATTTGGAAGAATTCACAGTTAAAAACCTCTGGACCTAAAGTTTTCTTTGTGGGAGTTTTTAAATAACATTAAAGAAAATATGAAAATGACTATTTCTTCTATATCAATTTTGATAACTTACGTTTTTGAAATAATTTGCTTCATGTAAATTGTCAAAAAATTTGTTTTTATATCCTCTATTGTCTTTCAATATCTGTAGGATCTGCAGTAGTATTCCTTTTTTCATTTCTGATATGGGTAATTTGTGGCCTTTCTCTTATTTTCTTGGTCAGTCTTGCTAGAGGTCTATCTAGGACCAGTTTGGGGCTTTGTTGATTTTATCTATTATATGTCTGTTTTCTATTTTATTAATTTCTGGTTTTTTCTCTATTATGTCTATACTTTCTTTGGGGTTAATTAGCTGTTTTTTTTTCTAACTTCTTGCACTGGGTAGTTGTTTCACTGGTTTTTTTCAGGCTTCCCTTTAGAAAGCTCTAAGGCTCTAAATTTCTATCTAGGCACAGCTTTAGCTGCCTCTCTGAAATTTTGTTCAATATCATTCAGTTCAAAATACTGTCTAATTTCCATTATGATTTCTTCTTTGACTCATGGGTGGTTTAGAAATGTGCCACTTAATTTCCAAACTTTGAGAATGTTTATTATCTTTTAATTATTGATTTCTAGCTTACTTTCATTGTGCATAGAACATGTGCTGTATGATTTCATTCTTTGAAATTTGATGAGATTTGCTTAATGCCAATTTTGGTAAATATTTCTGTGCACCTGAAAAGAATGCATATTTTGTAACTGTTGAGTGCATTGTTCTAAATATATCAATTAGGTCAAGTTTGTTAGTCTTTTTGTTCAAATCTTCTCTATCTCGACTGATTTTCTTTGTTGCTTGTTTCATCAGTTGCTAAGGAATGAGTATTATAATCTCCAACTATAAGTGTGGATTTTTCTATTTCTCATTTTAATTCTGCCCATTTTTGTTTATATATTTTGAGGTTGTTTTATTAGGTGTGTTCTAATTTAAGATTGTTTAAACTTCCAGAAGGGTTTAACATTTTATCATCATGATATATCCTCTGTATATCCAGTAATACATTGTACTTTGAAGTCTATTTTGTCTGGTAATAAAACAGCTAAATCCCACTTTTTTCCCCAGTTTTATTGAGATATAATTGACATATAACTTTGTATTAGTTTAAGGTGTACAACAAAATGATTTGATATATGTATATACTGAGAAATGATTACCACAATAAGTTTAGGTAACATGCATAACCTCACATAGTTACAATTCTTTTCTTGTCATGAGAATTTTTAAGATTGTGTTCACTAATGAATGAATGGATAAAGAAATTGTGTTATATATACAGTGGAATATTATTCAGCCATAAAAAAGAAGGAAATTCTGCCATTTGAAACAACATGGATGGACCTTGAGGGCATTATGCTAAGTGAAATAAGTCAGAGAGAGAAAGACAATTACTGTATTAGCACACTTAGATGTGGAATCTGAAATAACCAAACTCATGGGAACAGAGAAGAAATTCGTGGTTGCCAGAAGTGGGGGTGAAAGGGGGAGAGGGGTAATATGGGTGAAGATGGTCAAAGGTACAAACTTCCAGTTATAAGGTAAATAAGTTCT